CGACGTTATTGTTCTGAATTTTTATTTCTGTATTGCTATGAATTGAACAATATTATTAATTTTCATTATTTGTCAATTTTTGTTTATGTACGTATTTATATTATTCTGTAATTTTTCAATTTTTTATACTTATTTTTTATCTAATACAGGTTATTTTAATTTTTTTAATAATTTTTCAGCAGGTTTTTTTTTTTTTTGAGACGGGAGAAGAACCCGTCGCCAAAAACAATAATAGGCTTTTGCGACGGCACCAACACAGTTGCAAAAGCTGTGCAATTGGAATTTACAAGACACCTTTAGTGACGGTAACCGTTGTCGTCGCCAATACTTATAGTTAACACCCCAGCCATCGACTATTGATCAGATCACGCAGCAGGTTCGTGCAGGGCTAAGGGATGAGTTGAGGGAGGAGCTGCGAGCAGAGTTCTCTACACATTTGCAGCAGATGAGAGCTGAGATGATGGCCCTTGTGTCACAGGGGGCGAGTGTGGATCCCAACAGACAGGTTCCATAATATAAATTAAATTGTTTGATAGTTCAATTTTCACTCAAGATTATGTATAAAATTCGAATATGATTAACACATTATGCAATGACTAACATAGGTTCCTGATGCATCGAGTGGCCACCGGGCATTTATGGAATCTGTAGAAGACGAGAATCCATATACACCACCACCAGAAGATCAGGTATAAAATGTATCTTTGCATTCTAAGCTAAAATGTATCTTTGCATTCTTTACATTCTAAGTCAAGAGACTTGTGGGAGAAGACGCGACTAGTTAGAGCTGGATTTAGCACGAAAATTGGCACATACGACCACCTAGGCACGAGAGACTTGTGGGAGAAGACGGGCCTCGAATCGGGTTCCCGGTTTGGGAGTTAGAGCCAGATTTCACTTTAGGCAAACTAGTTCCTTAAGAAACTTGAATTCGAGGAGTTAATGCCCCAAAATCACTAAACCACGTCAGTTTAGGACGAAACTTGGCACACACGACCTCCTAGGCATGAGAGACTTGTGGGAGAAGACGAGGCTCGAATCGGGTTCCCGGTTTGGGAGTTAGAGCCAGATTTCACTTTAAGCAAACTAGTTTCTTAAGAAACTTGAATTCGAAGAGTTAATGCCCCAAAATTACCAAACCACGTCAGTTTAGGACGAAACTTGGCACACACGACCTCCTAGGCACGAGAGACTTGTCGGAGAAGACGGGGCTCGAATCGGGTTCCCGGTTTGGGAGTTAGAGCCGGATTTCACTTTAGACAAACTAGTTTCTTAAGAAACTTGAATTCGAGGAGTTAATGCCCCAAAATCACCAAACCACGTCAGTTTATGACGAAACTTGGCACACACGACCTCCTAGGCACAAGAGACTTGTGGGAGAAGACGGGGCTCGAATCGGGTTCCCGATTTGGGAGTTAGAGCCGGATTTCACTTTAGGCAAACTAGTTCCTTAAGAAACTTAAATTCGAGGTGTTAATGCCCCAAATTCACCAATCGGTGTCGGTTTAGTACGAAACTTGGCACACACAACCTCCTAGGCACGAGAAACTTGTGGGAGAAGACAGGGCTCGAATTGGGTTCTCGGTTTGGGAGTTAGAGTCGGATTTCGGTCTAGTCAAAATTATTTACTAAACTATCTTTCTAATTATATAGTAGTTAATTTTTTTATATTTTTCTGTAATTAAAATATTAACACCATTATATTGTTATTAATTATTTTTATTTTGTTTTTTTCAGATATTTCCTGAATAGCAGTTTGCTTCGTGTGGAATGTGGGCATGTAAAGATTATGACCAACTTCTGGTTTTGTAACCCACGAAAGAATCAAGACGAAAACTTTTGGTTTTGGTTTTGATTTTGATTTTAATTTATGTTATTTAAATTTGTGAACAACATTATGTATGTATCATGTGACCAACATTATGTATTTTCATCATTTGCCAACTTTTGTTTATGTATGTATTTATATTATTATGTAATTTTTGGATTTTTTTTATAGTTATTTTTCATTTAATACAAGTGATTTTTATATTTTTAATAATTTTAAAACAGGGTTTTTTTATTTTTTATTTTTTTTTTGAGACGGCAGAACACCTCGTCGTAAAAAAGAAATTATACCAGACTTTTTGCGACGGCACCCATACTGTCGCAAAAGGTATGGAATTTATTGAAAAACAAGACTTTAGCGAGCCAGGCTTTTTGCGACGGCAGCCATACTGTCGCAAAAGGTATGAAATTTATTGAAAAACAAGGCTTTAGCGACGGTATAATTGCCGTCGCCAATAGTCATTAGCGACGGCTCAGGTTGCTGTTGACAATAGTCAAAAGCGACGACATTTTTTAGCGACGAAATTTTTGCCGTCGCACAAACCTATTTTAGCGACAGAGAGCTTGTGCCGTCACAAAAAAACTCAGATTTTCATCCATTATGGGCGACAGAAAATTACCGTCGCAAAATAGAAAATTTCTCGTCGCAAATACAATGGCGACGGCAACTCTAAAACTCTTTTGCAACCCTCTTTGTTGTGACCCTCACTTGCCGTCACAAAAAAAAATTACCGTCACAAATAACTTTTAAGACGGCGTGCGAGAGTATTTACGACGGCATTTTGCTATCGCAAAAAACATTTTTTTTTTATAGTGCCACAAAGAGACAGAAGAGATTACTTATACAAATTTGGCAGAACAAATTTCCAAGGGAATGATCGCATTCCACTTCAATCTACAACAAAACTTTCCAGCATTGACTGCTGTAGCCAATTTACAGCTGACAGTCCCATATACAAGAAAGCTTATTGGCTACAAAAATAGCAATCATAGCCCTATTAGCCACAACAGAAACATCAAGTGACCTATACTATGAAGCACCGAAACCTCCCCGACAGGTATAGATATTTAACACATGCCAAATATACACACATGTCGGACACACTGAAAAAAATTAGACACGCTAGGACATTTTAGATACGGACACGCTAAATACTCTATTTTTCTCCAACAAAATTAACTTTTATTTATTTTTTACTAAAATAACATATCTAAAGTTAATAAATTTGATAAAATTAAATATTTAACATAAAATATATATTAAATATTTATAAATATATATAAGACGAAATTTTTGCCGTCGCACAAACCTATTTTAGCGACAGAGAGCTTGTGCCGTCACAAAAAAACTCAGATTTTCATCCATTATGGGCGACAGAAAATTACCGTCGCAAAATAGAAAATTTCTCGTCGCAAATACAATGGCGACGGCAACTCTAAAACTCTTTTGCAACCCTCTTTGTTGTGACCCTCACTTGCCGTCACAAAAAAAAATTACCGTCACAAATAACTTTTAAGACGGCGTGCGAGAGTATTTACGACGGCATTTTGCTATCGCAAAAAACATTTTTTTTTTATAGTGCCACAAAGAGACAGAAGAGATTACTTATACAAATTTGGCAGAACAAATTTCCAAGGGAATGATCGCATTCCACTTCAATCTACAACAAAACTTTCCAGCATTGATTGCTGTAGCCAATTTACAGCTGACAGTCCCATGTACAAGAAAGCTTATTGGCTACAAAAATAGCAATCATAGCCCTATTAGCCACAACAGAAACATCAAGTGACCTATACTATGAAGCACCGAAACCTCCCCGACAGGTATAGATATTTAACACATGTCAAATATGAATTGGGATCCTCCCCTTGAGTCCCCTCCTTAATTCCCTCCTTGTAGGGGCTTTCGGGTCCACTTTGAGGCCCAGTTTTGATAATCCGAACCGTTAATATTTTTAGATTTATTCAGTATATCATACCTGTAAAAAATCAAATTGATCGAATATCATAAAGTATGTGTTCGAAAAATTGTTTATTAAAAAATAGTTTGTAGTCCCAATTTTCTGAACGCATACTTTCTGATATCCGATCAACTTGATTTTTTACAGGTATAATATACTGAATAAATCTAAAAATATGAACGGTTCGGATTATCAAAAATGGGCCTCAAAGTAGACCCGAAGGCCCCTGCAAGGAGGGAATTAAGGAGGGGGCTCAAGGAGAGGATCTGGACTCGTCAAATATACACACATGTCGGACACACTGAAAAAAATTAGACACGCTAGGACATTTTAGATACGGACACGCTAAATACTCTATTTTTCTCCAACAAAATTAACTTTTATTTATTTTTTATTAAAATAACATATCTAAAGTTAATAAATTTGATAAAATTAAATATTTCACATAAAATATATATTAAATATTTATAAATATATATAATAAAAATATATTTCTTGAACAAATGTGTCGTGTCTTATATTTTTTAAAAATTTACATGTCTCAGTATCCGTATCGTGTCCATGCTTCTTAGGAAGCATAGTACGAATTACAGATCTTAGCTATTAGAGACAAATTAGTACACACAAATAAACAAAAGACAATGTTGCAATTATAACAGAGAAGCCAGTTGCATTAGCGTTACAAGCTAAAAACAGCAACCTTCCTTACTAGCACTCCGAACTGCACATGACTTAAGAGGACCAGAATAACAAGAAGAACCATCAAAATTAAGTGCGCCCTTGGTAAAACCTGTTCGGTGTTACATTTTTGCAAACCTTGCAATGTACTTGAGCTGAAGATCTCACTGGCAACATGATGAACCCAAAGATTCTTAAGCTACAGCATGAGCATGTGTTTTTTGGTACAAGCGATATATTAGTGTAGTTTTTGACATCTGGGGCTCCCTTTCAAGGACAGCAATCACATCCTTAACAGAGATGGAGCGAGCAACTTCAGTTTGAGGAACCACAACTTGATTCCTTACGAATTGTCTACTTAACCCTGTTGAGAAAACATAGATTAAAAACAGAGATCGTGCAATGAATCATGCAATGCTGAGTATCATATCAAGGAACATTACCACACCAAATGCTTCATTTTATTCAATGGAAATACAAAAATAGCCAGCATCATTTTCATTTTCTGTTTTCTGTTCTTAAAAATAGAAAAAACAAAAACTGATATGGAAAACTTGTTTGCTAAACTGTTCCTGAAAATTGTATTTGGGAAACCTTTTTCTGCAAACATCCCAATTTTTAGCAAACATTTTAAAGTTGTTTATTGAACTTCCAAAAACTTTTTTCGCACGAAAATTTTAGCCATATAAAAATGGTGTGTGCTTTCAAACCTTTCACTGTTTTGGTCCCTTGGCATCAGGTGGGCATCCCAAGAACCTTGCTTGGTTAGGCCAGGAGTTCAAACCACACCAGGTTCAAGTTGCATGTAAAATGATTACATGATGCTCTCTCTCTCTCTCTCTCTCCACAAAAAACAAAAAGAAAACTCCTGTTTAGGGTTGGCTGATAAACCATTCAAACCAGCCACCTTGTGCTGCTTTTTCCAAGTTGTAAATTGTAATTGATAGTGATTAATACATTAGTGACTGAAAGAAACAAGATGTTGATATGATCAGTTGACCACTCATTTATACGTTTCTACAGGTCGGCCAATGGTCTAGCTTAAAAAACCAGCAAATACTGATTTTAATATAACAGAGTAAAATTTTAGATGGGAAAATTTCAAATTGATTAAATAATTCTTACATGCATGTTTATATATGTATGTACTAATTATAATTTATAAGTTCATTTTGCACCTTATTTAGGTGGTTCAAAGAGTAATAACAAAGGAATAGTTTCTAGTTCACAACTCATGCACAAGAGAGAGAGAGAGAGTTGAAGCTTTGGAACCATCAAATTAATAAGTAATTAACAATGATAAAAATTGGCCAATAATTAATCTATATCATGCTTACCAGATGACACAGCAGCACTTGGCTGGCCCATTTTCTCTGCTTCTTGATTTTCCCTTGCATTTTTTCCAGAGGATGATAAATGCTTGTGGCTCATATCACCCAACTGAGAACCAGAAGCAGCATCAATTCCTCCTTCACGTTTTTGCCGAGCTTGCTCAGCCATTAGTTGCCATTTTGACAGCATATCATCTCCTCCAACAGCAGCTCGCGCAGCAACATTTGCAGCTGTTGCCCGCAATTTGTCATCCTCTTCTTTGTTTGCCTGCATATGTAGTAAAAGTTCAACACACAAATTTCTTTTCTTTTTTTTTATTTATTTATTTTTATGCTCTGTTTGTTTCAGCAGAAAATATTTTTTATAGAAAACTTTTTTAAGAAAACGTTTTCCTATGTTTGGTTACGTCTTTCAAACTGATGTACTACTTGTATTAGGTGGTGGTGGTGGTGGTGGAGGTGGAGGTGGAGCATGAGGTGGTGTGGCAGTGGCAGAGGTGGTGATGGGGCTTTAGTGTGGTGCCACAAATAAGACTTTAATCCGAAAGTGGAAAACATTTTTCGCCCAAACAGGCTTGTTTTCTGTTGACAGTGGAAAACATTTTCTGTTGACTTTCATTTACGTTGTACCAAACGCTAGAAAATTCAAAAAACATTAACAAACCGAGTGTTAGTGGTGAATACCTAATAGATTGAAATCAATCAACCTTAATTAATACCTTCACTGATTTTGCACGACCCTCATCCTTTTCCTTACCGCCATCAACGCTAGCATTACCTTCTGGCTACATATACAAACATAAATATAACAAACTTCAAGGAATATACACCCACACCAGCAAATGCAAAGTATTTATGCAAGATATACCCACTTCATTGAGCTTTTGGAGTCTTTCTGCTTCAGCCTGCTTTTTATCCCATTCTTCTTTGGCTTTCCGGTTCATTGCCATGATTTGTTGCCGAACATCTGAGGTTATAAGAGTTTGGTGCCTTGGCTTCTCAATATCAACCCGCTACGGAATTCATTTGAAATCATTAAAATAAAGAGTCATTCAATTTTCCTTCCTTTCTTTAGGCAATCACAAAGAGAAAATAACCAAAAAGAGAAAAACTAACCTGTTTCGACAGTCTGATCAGATTGCTTATCAGTCCACGCATTCTTTCCTCCACACACTGATGATTCGGTTTCATAAAAAAGTGTAAAGAGATAACAACTGAAAAACAGAAGTGATAAAAATCTTACCAATGACAAGCATTGATCCACATCATTGCTAATATTCTTTACACCGCATTTTGACACTGCCATAAATGCACACATCCCAAAATGTCAAGCTATTTTCTTCTAAAATTTGTTTTACAGCAGCAACAAAATGCATAAATTCACAGGATATAAAAAATTTAACCAAAAAAAGCTTTAACTGATTTTTGCCAATTTTTTTTGAAGGGGAATTTTCTGCAAAATCAGCTTTTCTTCTTCATCTTGCACAACTCTTCGAGATGCTTCTGAAACTCGAATGTCTTCTTTGGGCCCAGAAAGCAGTTGTTCTTCCTCTTCCTATGTCACACAACATATCAACAGAACTGTGAGTTCCTGATTTAAAGTTTGTGCATTGTAAATTAAGTCAGCAGACACTAGTTAACCGTATAAAGTTGATGATGGTAAAATATTATACCCTAAGATTAACTCCACTGACAGCAGTCACATCATTGAGTTGTTCAATGCTTTGATCCAATAAGGCCCCAGATACTTTTTGCTTCTTACTGTCACAGATACCATGAATGTGTGCCAATTAAGATAGCAAAAAAGGTTGACAATGATGATAGAGAAAATAAGTTGCACCAACCAATCAAAATCATCTTCTAGCTGTGTTAGAGAACTAGTTATATCACCTTGGTAGAGGTGGCAAAGAACCAAGGGATTCCAGTGGTTTCTTTTGGCCAATAGAAGGCTTTTTCGGGATTGTCTTTGCATTATCTCCGGGCCCAACCGGAGAAGTTGCAGATGGGACCCGAGAACTAAACTGATAAAATATAGAAGCAACAAGTAAGCTAAACAATAACAGTAAGAAAAGCCATGGTAACATAGTGATTAGCAAGAATTTGACAGCACATATAAAATCAGAAAGAAAGTCACTTTTCCTAACAAGAAAATGAAAATTTTCATTTGTAAGAAAGGGTAATGATTCAAATAAAATAACAAAAAACTACTACTAAACAATCAAGACATTAAAAAAGGTAACAATTATAAAAAAATAAAAAGATGAAAAAGAAAATGCAGGAGAACTGATCATACAGTGGAATTACGTTCTACATAAGAAATCTCCAGTGATACTCCTTCATTTCTCTAAGAAATCCATGCTAAATTTCACCAATCTTGGGATCCAGCAACTTTTACAATTCAAAGCTTTTGAAAATTCATAAATTTCCATTAAGTACTACATATGTCCAAAGGGCCCTCGGGTGCTCCATGTACAATCAATCATCACAGATCTCTCCCATTATATGCTAGAATGTTCATTTAGAAATTAGAAGTCTATATCAGCCCCCTAATATTCATAAAACAAACACGATAGCACCCATTGAATCTACATGTAACCCACAAATAATATCAGGCTCCAGCTATCCTAGTGAACAACCACCAGCATCTACTTGAAAAACCCCATGGTAGGAGGGGTTCAATCAAACCAACGTTGAGCTATCTAAAAAAAAAAGGGATTAAAAAAAAAAAAACAAAAAAACAAAACAAAAAGAAGCATTGAATAACAATCTCCAACAGCATTACAGTCTGAAGATCAGTGGTTTTGTTTTTTCCAGAGGTAATTGGAGGTGGGTTTGAGCTAGGTTTTGGTATTTTATATATACACAAACACTTTCTAAAAAACTGTATTATTCAGAAGCCAAGCCCAATGCATAGCTCCCTTACAGTCAGCTGCAACCATTTACAGCTGAAATGCTTATGTTTTGGTATATCTAAAAGATCAAAGGTTAATGTATGCTACATCATACTACATACAAACATATATACTAGTCCAAGGGCCGGAATGCGAAAGACATGAAACCTCACACACTGCACTCTCTTCAGTACGCTAAATGAATTTTGCCTCTCAAATTTAGACTCATTCATGGCCTGAGTTGATGTTCCCAAAAGAGTTGCACCAATGCTTTGAACTGGACCTGCCTCACTTGTGAATCATGAGACAGCTGTTTGACAAATGTGCTGAAGTGCTAACATTTGTTCCAGAAAATGGGTGATAATTACCACCTATACTTTCATAAATGCGAAAAGATACCTGTGAGAAATGCAAATGCTGTTGTTGCTGCTTGCTAAGACCTTGATTGGGGATTATGGGGTACTCCTTTTCTTGGTTTATGTTACTCAAACTGGACAGCACCATTTGGTTTACTGGCATTCCATGTGAATCTGATTGGTGTTCCATCTCGCGTGATTTTTTACCATTACTATCCATCATCGCATTGCTTGGATCAGTCTTCAGTATTGCAGCTGAAGAACGAATATGAGACACATCTGCAGGAGAGGTGACATCCTTCTGATGAACTTGTGCAAATGACTGAGAAACAGTTCCGTGATTTGTACCAACAGATGGCATTTTCAAATTCTGTGGTTGTGCAGAAGCTTGAGACTGTAATGACTGTTGGCTGGGTCCAGTCTGCGAGTTTCGAGCAGCCTGTTTTCCAGTCTGGTTTCAGCATTAAATCTCCAAACAAAATAGAGATGCATAAAATAACCAGTTTGTACGCACCTGTGCTTGAAACTTATATACTGCCATCTTGAGCATCTGGTCCCCTACAATAGTTCTCATGTGGCGTACAAATTCCTCTTTGGAGATTTCATTTTTCTGAATATAGCAAAGTCCTTCATCATTAGGATGAGAAGTTCTACAAAAATTCATTCCATGCTAGACAGTCGTAACAGTTGGCAAAGAAATCCAAATCTAAGACCCACCTTCAATTTAACATAAAGAGTCTCTAGTTGCATGGCTCTGTCCTTATCAAGTTGAGGTCGTATGACTGGGAGCAACAGGGCAAATGACACTTGTTTTCCATGATTCATTGGATTTATTGTCTGCTCTGTTGCCATTGCCTGCTGATTATTCATCTTCTGTAACTTTGGGTATTGAGACTCACTCCTGGAATTGTGTGTTCTGTCTGGCTTTCTGATATGGACTGGATTCTTTCCAAAATTCTGAATACCCATTGATTGCGAAAAATGGAGGTTGCTTTGCTCGACTGGCCATTTTTGACAGTCATCCTGTGGTTGTTTCTGTTGCAAAGGGATGCAATTCAGTTCCCGTGAAGTGATAATTTGTTGCTGCTGGTTCTCAGGACCATATCCATGTTGCTTTAACTTCATTCCAGATGAATGTCGCTCTTGTTGCAGGAAACCAGCCAGATCCTGTTGATTTTGACCATTGGTATTTTTATCTTGTCTGGAAGTTTGCCAAGGTGGAAATAACTGACTGGAAGTGTGATTGCTTCCTTGAGATAAAGGTGCTGTTTTAAGTTCAACATATTGTGGTTAATAAAATAGTTTCTAAGCGGGGCATAAGAAAACCACTTGAAAAATATGCATTATAAGGACGAAGAAATGTAATATTCTAATTATAAATTATGTTACAAGGACTCAGTTGAGTATCAGGTGCGAGTGTGCGTCCAAAAGTCAAATCTTCCTAAATGTAAATATTTGGATGTTGGAATTTTTATCCAAAAGTTGGGTACGGATATGTTGACACATCTGGAATATTTAAAAATATTACATATTGCATGAAATTCTGACATTAAATGTTGTAAATTATTAAAAATGTAATTGAAATTATATAAAATTTTGGAGGAAACGACAATTTTCCTCTCTCATCTATGTCTAAAAAGTTTTCTTTACAACCAAATGTGAGCTTCTTCTTCTTCTTCAAGCATGGTAAAAATTATATAATACAAGCATCTAACTTAAGTATGGATGTCGGACACGAATCACAGGTAAGAGTCTATGCAGCACTCATTACACTTTTTTTTTTTTTTGTTGCTTTCCCCGATAATTACAAATAAAGGCATCTCCAACGGTTCACCAAATATTTCATCAAATATGAGTAAAGAAAGTATGAATTTCTCTATCTGATATCAGTCACTCCAACAGTAAATTTATAGTTGTCATCAAAACAAAGGTCGTCCGGGGGGTCGATCGGCCGGACGATGGTTCTGCTCTGTGTTCCATATCCATAACCAGAAAAACGATGGTTTGCTCAAGCCATAACCCATCTCATGGTTTGCTCAATCTGGGTATCAAGAAAAACGATGTTGTACTCATTTTTGCCCCAAATTCAATCCAATTCGTTGTTTGTTTCTTCGGAATCATCGCAACCAGCGTTATTGCAACTACTGTAAATCCTATGTACACAATCTCTATGTACACAATCTCTGAGCTTTCAAAACTAATCAAAGACTGCAAACCAAAGCTTATCATCACTGTTTCTCAATTATGGGAAAAAGTTAAAGGCTTCGGTTTACCATCTGAAAAATCTGTTTCGATTGTTACAAACTCAAATTCAAAAGTTACATCTTTTATTGATTTGATTAGGAGTGTTGCGTCGGTTTCGAATTTGCCTAAGGTTTCAATTCGATCAAATGATACAGTTGTTCTGTTGTATTCATCAGGGACACAGTTGCAGAGAGGCAATGAAATAGGTGGTTGACAGGGGGTCCGACTGGGGAGTTGACCTCCCAATGTAAAATTTTCACAAAATTTTGGTTGAGGTGGTCGTCTGGGAGGACGTCCGGCCGGTCTTCCGGTGGGTCCACACTCAACGGCTATGTATAGTAAATTGCTAAAAGGTGCAAGACATCTTTACTTTGGTGAAAATTTTGGGGCATTCTCAATTTGATATTGTTTTGATAAAACCGTTGGAGCCAAAAAAAGTGTACTTTTTCACCAAATTCAAATTTGGTGATGCATCTGGTGAACCGTTGGAGATGGCCTAAGGAGTATGCTCAAGCAGCTAAAACCAGATGAAAGATAAAGATTATGATTATTATATTGCTTTAAATTTGACCACAGATTCAGCTTCTTGACAACCTTCACTACTACATATATGCTTACACCTAATGGGCAGTCGCTAGTCGGACCCTTCTAAAAAAAGTAGAAAAAATGCATAAATGGAAACTAACTCAAAATTATTGCAGTTTTGGCCTATTTTGGGAAGTAGATTAAAAACTAACCTTTTGACGTTTTTTTAAAATGTGCAAAAAAAATAGGGAAATGATGTGACTAGTTTTTAACCGTGTTGCCAAAATTATATTTTTATGGATGCCTAAGTGAGTCTGTATCCAAGACAAGTGAAAATTGTTGCATGGATCACAATCACACAGCTCTTACTTACTCTGACTTGAAACTCTTGTTCCCACTTAAATGCAACAACAAAAAAAAAAACCAAAAAAAAAAATATATTGAAGAAAAAAATATACAAACAATAATTTTCATGAAATTGCAAAACCCAAGTTGAGCTTGTACAGGTATATACCAGTGTCTGAATTAGAGGGTTGTGATGTGGAAGTATTGCCCTCTATATCCCTATTCAAAGCAGCTGTGAAGGCCTCGACGTCAGCCCCAGAATGCATTGTTTCGTCCTGAAAACATATCAGCTTATAAAAATTGAGTCTTTAGCTTCAAAATAAATCCCCTTTCTACAAACCCAAACAAACTTGACTTTCGTAAGTGTGTACGTATATATACAAAAAATTGAGCATGTGTGCAGATATATATATATATATATAGAGAGAGAGAGAGAGAGAGAGAGAGAAGAGGAGAGGGAACCTCGTCCTCTTCGAGGAGTTTCATAATGGAAGGGTCCATTACAACCTTTGATTTCAGGGGGAAGGTGACGGCGTATGCTGCGGCAATTGATCGGCGTTGAGATTGTGATTGAAAGAGAAATTTGGGTACTTTTTGACGACGAACTGAGACTGGGAAAGAGAAGAACGTAGTGAGAAATCGCGAATTAGTGAACGGAATACCCGAGTTCCGAACGATGATATGCTGTTCTTCTTTCGTCTCTCTTGTGAGCGTCCAATGTGCCCTTGGTTTTTAGCCCCTTTAATAGACCTCTGGTGCTTATGGATTTTATATCATTATTAAATACATTTCTTTTTTCGGCTCGTTATGCTTATCTTGGCAACGGTTTTGAAAAAAATAAATCATTCAATTTTGTTTATTTATTTTCAGATAAATGTAATGAAGGATGAAGATCATGATTATTATATTGCTTTAAATTTTGGAAAAATTATAAAACAGTTGAATGTGAGAAAAACAATTGCAAAAATCATTAAAAGAATTTATAATTTTAATTATTAACATTCATAAAAGAAATTTACTAATTTATAATTATTTTTATAAAAACAACCTATTACGTAATTTCTCCTTTAATTTTTTTTTAATAAATCGTATATTTGGAAGATCTTACACAAAATAAATAGTTCAAATCATTAAAATAATAATCATAATGAATTCCACAAGCCCGAATATTAAGTCATGTCTATATTTAAATTTGAGATAAATTCAACTATTTATACACATACATGCGACACCTAGCATTGTTGTTTCATAATTACAATAAGATAGAAAGCAAAACATGAATTTTTTGGGTAAAAGATAAACAAACAAAAATACATATATATTTGTTTGAAACATAACACTAGGTCATTTTTATTTTTTCCTCATTTCCATCCATTTCCTCTTCTCCTTACAATTCTGCTAGCCAATATTCCACCCTCATTGTCTTTGGAGCACTCCTCTGTCTTCAGTCTTCTTCTTTCCTTTTTCTCGAGTGTGTGTAAAATTCATAATCCTATTATTGGCCACCACTCTCCACCACCAATAACCTCTTACCCATTCTTTCTTGCTACTACCAAACCTTATTTGCCCCAATTACGTGCACCATTCTGACGCAATCGACATTTCATATACCTCTCTCATTCATTCTGTAACGCCCCCAAAATAATTACAAGAATCCAACTTCAAACACCAATGCGAAGTGATATTGATACAATAAAAAGTTTTCATTAATCAAAGTTAATATACAAAAGATAACAATTACAAAGAGGAGTAAATGCTACAAAATTAATCACATATCTTACTGGTTTACATCTTTCCAAGTCACTGCTTGGTTACAACAAAAATGAGTCATAAGCTCAATATACATAAAGCCCTAGGCTTGTACAAAAAGTTAATTACAAAATAAACACCATTGAGCCCTCAGCTCCACAATCCTCCCAAGCTAAGTCATTGGCGCAGGCATATCACCAACACCTGAAAATGGTTTTTTCCAAATAAGGTGAGCCAAAGCTCATTAGAAACAATCTAACACAATATATGAATCTTAACAAAGATATAAGTATAATGTGCATATAGAATGCCTGCAATAAAATCATTCATAGTTTACAAGATCATAGTATGCCAAGTTTTATATCTTATTTCATTGTTCATATCCATTTCATTCAATCACCCAATATTGAGAATACAACTCATTAGGTCTCAAATCAATACAGTTATCATACAAACACATTCATTTGCCATTTTACGAAAATTTCGTCTACGGGATTGGCACCCATGTATACAAGCGGTTTTTGGGACTTTCACCCTAGACACACATGCCAACTTAATTCAATGGAGTCCACCCCCTTTCTTCTCCCAAACATGGAGTACATCCCCTTTCTCCTCCCAAACATCAACCATTTCTCAAACTTACCATTTTATTTATTCTTTCCAAATAGTACAATACATGTGATCCAAAATATGATTTTCAAAATGAAACATATGCTCTTAAAACATAACACAAGAGTTTCCAAAATCTCTTTCCAAAACATACAGTTTAAATCCTCAAAATCCATTGCATGCTCCATGATATACATGATTTATAAACAGTCCAGTTTGCTTAGTCCACATGCAATTTCTACAACAATCATAGCTATCATCCACCGATAGCCCAAAACAAATATATCTAAACAGATAAATAAATTTCATTAAAGATACACTTTTTTAAAATCTCAAATAGGAGTGATAATACATATCCAACTCCATCATCATCATCATTAATCATCATTTCAATTTCACATTTCTCAACATTTATTTCATTTCCTCTTTACAATTTCAAAAATTTATTTCAATGCAAGAAATAACTCATTTCAACATATATTAACTCCAATTTCATAATTACAACCCTTTTCAAGAAAACATTTGAAAACCCCTCATTTACATTTTGATTTAATAATCCAACAATTTCCCAAAAGATCAACATTTTAGGGTTTCTCCAAATTAGGATTTTACATTTAAAAACTCATATACATTCTTTGTAAGTGGAAAATAAACATTTGTAGCTAAACCATAGCTCAACAATCCCATTTAGAACAAACCCTAACTTACAAACAAATTATCAAAAATCAATCCAAGAACAATGGGATCCATATATTTAAAATACACCACAAATACACTACCGAACTCATATTGAGTTTAAGAAATAGACTCTACCTCTTGAAGTAAGAAGGAAACAAGTCGAAAAAATCACCGGCGATGAAACAACAATCGGTTAAGATTAAATGGAAGCCCTCGTCGTGCTCTACGTTTTGGTATATGGAACTAAGGGTCAAAGATGTATGGAAATAGATGAAATCAAGCCTAAAAAGCTTGAGAAATCAAAAATGGCGGAAGGAGAGAGAGAAGAGAGTGAAAAGTGAAGTGGTTTGATCCAAAGAGTGACTTTTAAAGATTTGATTCTGTGCTGTACGCTCGAGCGTCGAAAGTTGCACTCGAGCTCACTATGCTCACAACACAGATTCGCAAATTTTAAACAGGTATATCTCTTTTGTCTGGACTCCGTTTAGGATCGTTCTTGTGTCCAAATTGAAGCCCCGAAAGTAAGCTTTTCAATGGTTCTAGCCTCACATCAAACTTCAAAGTGTGGAAAGAGAAAATGATAAAAGAGTGAAGACTACTCAATAA